TGGCATGATTCTAACTCCATACTTGAGCTTCTGTAAACATCCTTACATAACGATTATTTGAATTATGAATTAATCTAACACATTTGTTAAATGCCTTTTTTTAATTGTAAAATTTGTTATTAATTAATGAAATGCTGTATTTGTTCAATGTCTGTCTCACTTGTGGTCCTCTATAGAGGCTCTATTTACCAATTTAAAAGAGAAAAAGCAAAATATTGAATTGCTAAATTAAAATTACAAGATGAACTGAACGTATTAAATCTCAATCTCAAGTCTAAATGTAATAGAATTAAAATTAATACAAAAGCTAAAGAACCAAATTTTTATTTATTTCGCTATTCTGACAGAATCTTCTTTGACTGTTTTTGTGGCACCAGTGAGCTTCCATACATGCTCATATAAAGTATCTCACCTTCCTGTCAGGTGATCACTCGCTCTCGTCCAATCAGGACTGTTTTTCCAGCCAGCTTTTGAATAAACAATCAGAGGTCAAGTTAGCTTGTGTATGGAAGATTTATCACAACAGAAATAAAGTCACATACAGCTAAAAAAAAAAAAAAGATAGTTTTCAGCAGTTTGCAGAAAGTTATTTTTTAAATTCTCTGTAAACATTTTATACACTAGATGTACGGGGGCCCATTTCCACCAAGAAATAAAATAATTAGTTAAAAGTTAGAAACTATATTGTTTATGAAATCTAAATAATTTCTTTCTTTTTCTTAATTGTTGATATGATGATTATATTTATGTGGAAACTAATTTCTGTCAGGAAAATAAAATAAAAATGTATTAAAAGTTGTGATAAATCCAAATGATGAGATTAGCAAATTAAAAAGACCACAGATCTAAAGGTTAATTAATTTAAATATACTGACTTAATTTTCTTTTAATTGTGACCTGGTTCAAAATCACGACTTTCATAGTTTTGATTTAAGTTTTTTATTATGAAATTATTTAATTTCAATGACTCAATAACCTCAATAATTTTTGACTCAGCAGCAGTTTTTGGCAGAAATGAGCCTCCGTACATTGGAGGGTCCTGATGTTGTTCTTACTGTAACAAACAGACTCTTCAGCTCTCCTCCCTCCCATCAGCACCATTGTTGGTTTCCATAGCAACCGGCCTGTTGGAAAATCACGTCTCCTCGTTGCTGCGGTTGCCATGGCGACGTGCTGCGACAGCAACCCCCGTCAGCTTCAGAGCAGTAAGTGTATATGGACGCCATCGTTTCCTTTTATAGAGTGAACACACACTGCAGAGCCAATAATCAATCAATAACTGATCATTGATCCACCCGGAGGAGAGAAATCTGCCTGAAAATAATAATAATTATATTAATAATAAATATATATATATACATATATAATAAAAACAGACTGACACTCTAGCGCCCCCAACAGGCTGAAATCACCACTGATCAATAAACTGATCAATAAACTTTATCTTCTTATATTTTACAGCAGCAGAGAGGCTCCTCTGTACGGAACAACAGTCAATAAACTGATGTTTATATGTTTATATGTTAAATGTTAATAAATAAAATAACATTTCATTAGATTTATTACTTTTAATAATTGTATTTATATTTCAAATTTCTAAATTTAAATGTAATAATTGTATAAAGTATTTGATCAGTGGGGGGGGCATCCTCCTCTTCATCAGCTGCAGCTTCTTCCTCCTCAGCTCCGAGCAGACAGACAGGTGGTCGGACGGACAGACAGGCAGACAGACAGGTGGACGGACAGAGCGACCATGATGTCTCCCTCCTCCTCTCCCTCCTCCTCCTCTTCCTCTTCCTCCTCTTCCTCCTGTGGATCGCGGACAAACACCATGAAGCGTCTCTCGCTGCTCGGCTGTGAACTGGTGAGTTTCCCCGTGAATATCCCACATTTACCCCCAGAAACACGCCTCCTTGTCGGCCTCGTTACCGCCGACACTCCAGAGGCTGCGAGCGGAGGTTTGAGCTCCGATCTGCGGGTTGATGAGCTGCAGATCTCCGGGAGGGAACCCGCTCTTATTCTTACAGTCTGTACGGTTTATTCCTGTGATTGTTATTATTATTATTATTATGATGATGATGATGATGATGATGATTGTTATTTATATGTAATGGAGGTTTGATGGCTCCTCCAGACCCACCGGATGGATGCAGCAGCAGACATGTTGTCCAGGCCTGATGCTGCTCTGATTCTCTGTGGCAGCGACGGCGCATTTATTAGTTTATTTGTTTGTTTGTTTTCTGCTGGTCGGAATAAACATGTTTACGGCTGCAGATGGAGAATCAGTGGTGAGGATGTGAGCTGGATGTATTTCTAATGAATCCCATTAAAGGCTGTTGTTGTTATTTGGAGCTCAGAGAGCAGATTATTATTATTATTATTATTATTATTATTTATTAAAGGTTCCTGATTTCAGTTACAGCGAAACTCAGAATCTTCTGCTTCTGGTCCGCAGTGTTTAACTCTTTACTGAGATCAGCTGATTTTATATTATAATTATAGTTAAAATAATAACTATAATTATATAGTTTTATTTCACATTAAAGCTCCAGTGTGTAAAAACATCAGTATAATATAATATAATATAATATAATATAAAACATTATTGTAATATAATATAATATTGGGTCCTCTGGCGAAGTCCACCATGTCTCTACAGTAGTTTGTAAGGTGAGGGTGAAGCGAGGGAGTTGCATCTAAATACTAAAGAATCCTCCACAGTAGATCTTTAAATGAGTGATTCAGGTGGTCATTAGCATTAACAGTTAGCAGAGCGGCTTCAGAGGGAAACCAGACAATATTTATAAAGTTGTGTTTTTTCTATTACTAATTGATTAATTTACTGATACATTAATAATAACTGATAATTGTTTTAATAATAATTGATGATTGTTTTAATAATAACTGATAATTGTTTTAATAATAGTTGATGATTATAAGAGAGTGTATCTAATATTCTGTGTATAGGTGTATTATATACATACACATACCTGTAACTGTCAGTGGTTCTCCTGCTGATCACTGGGATGGATGCGGTTGCTATGGGGAAATCCAGCCGAGTAAACACAAGAGCTTTCGCCCCATGGGCTTCTTCACATCCTTAATGGTGGACCTCAGAGGAGAGCTGGATCCCTGTGGACTCTAAACTGGGTCCCTGTGGAGGATTAATGAAATCAAGCAGCAGCACAGGCAGTGAATGAGCTGCTGTCGATGGTTGCAGGTTGTATTTAGATAAAGTGATGAAGGGACATTATTCAATACAGAGACAACAACATCTCCACATTGTGTTGAATGGGAAGAGTTTCTGTCTCTGACGGGAACTCATTTCTGAAGAGGAACAACAACGTTTGCCTCCGTTATCTAAAGTCGTCGACAGTTCGCTCAGTGATCACTTTCTTAAACAATCCAATCAGTCCTCCTGCGTACGTCTCTATTAGAGCCAGAACATCACTTTATACCAACAATTAACCTTCCTACCAACCAACCAACCAATCAAACCAACCAACCAACCAATCAACCATCCTTCCTACCAACCAACCAACCAACCAACCTACCAACTGACTATCAACCAACCAACCAACCAACCAACCAACCACCCTTCCTACCTACCAACCAACCAACCAACCAACCAACCGACTGACTACCAACCAACCATCAGTGTTAATCCAGCTCCACCAGCTGTACAGACCCAGGAATTAGCAGCTCCTCTGATATCAGAAATCTCTTCCAACCTACTAACTAACCAGGTTTGGTACCATTGTGCCTGAACAAAGTTCTGGGTGGGTCCAGAAGTGGTCCAGTAAAGTCTTTGGAAAGGTCTCTGAATGTTTCTGATGGTACTAATGAAGACTGTGTTTGTGTGTCCACAGCTCCTCTCCGGTGCAGCAGTATAGCGATGGTGTATTCACAGTCGTCAAACGCAGTTGGTGTCAATCCCTCGCTTTATTCTCCATCTTTCACGTATCAGATGTCATTTAACTACTCTGAGAGGGAAAATTCAACTGTCCTGGCAACCTTACCCACAACTCCCCTCTGCAGCCTCGAGGGCTCGTCCTCTGGCGAGCCCAACAGGACCTCCCCCTCTTACGAGCTGACTTCAGGTGAGGTCGCCATCCTGGGCTTGGTGTTTGGGGTTCTCTGGCTGGTCTCCATCTTGGGAAATGCCCTTGTCTGCCTGGTCATCCACCGGAGCCGACGGACTCAGTCCACCACCAACTACTTTGTGGTGTCTATGGCCTGTGCAGACCTGCTGATGAGCCTGGGTTGCGCCCCCTTCATCTTCCTGCAGGTTGCCTCAGGACGATGGCCATTGAGTGCCGCCGCATGCAAGGCCGTACGCTACCTGCAGCACCTGTGCCCCGGCGTGCAGGTCTATGTGCTGCTGTCCATCTCTGTAGACCGCTTCTATACAATCGTTTATCCCCTCAGCTTCAAGGTGTCCAGAGAGAAAGCGAAGAAGATGATCTTGGCCTCATGGCTGTTTGATGCAGCCTTCGTGTCACCGTGTCTCTTCTTCTATGGTTCCACATCCACAGCCAGCGGTCATTGTGACTTCTTCCCTCCGGACAGCTGGGGCAGTGTTGCCTACGCTGCCATTCACCTCCTGTTTGGATTTTTGGTCCCAGTGGCTCTGATTATGTCGTTCTACCAGCGGGTGGTCCGCTACATCTGGAGGATCAGCGCTGATGGCCACACCGTACGCCGGACAATGAACATCGTCCCACGGACTAAAGTCAAGACCATTAAGATGTTCCTCATGCTCAATTCAGTTTTCTTCCTCACCTGGACGCCCTTCTTCATCGCCCAGCTGTGGCACCCGAGGGAGTCTGATGGACCCAGTAGGCAGGGACTGCTGTTCTTCACGGCCATCGCCTGGATCTCCTTCAGCTCCACGGCGTCCAAGCCAACCCTGTACTCTGTCTACAATGCTAACTTCAGAAGAGGCATGAGGGAGACCTTCTGCATGTCCTCCATGAAATGCTACCGCAGTAACGCATACACCATTACGGCGAGCTCTCGGATGGCCAAAAAGAACTACATTGGGGTGGTGGACATCCCGGTGCAAGCAAAGACGGTCGCCAAGGACTCGGTTTATGATACATTTGACCGAGAGGCAAAGGAAAAGAAGGTGGCCTGGCCCACTAACGCCAACCCTCCGAATACCTTTGTCTAATTGAGTTTTAAAACTGTGAATGTACAAAATGAACTAGTTTGAAACTTTATTCTACAGCAAAAAGTCACAGTTGGCAGGTGAGCAAGCTGGAACATGTTAGCCCTCAATTCAACTGAGACACAAGCTCACAGAAACAGAATGTGTTCATTTTGTATAAAGGGCTTTTTCTGATCTAACACACCTTCTGGCAGCCATATTGGAGGTTCTCAACAGCTGTGAACAGCTAGCCGTTTTTATACTTCCGATTTGAATCATTATTTATTTCTGCGCTGTGTTTTGATGGATTGTTTTGCCATTGATGTATCAGATTTTGTGTTTTGATGTCAGCTTGATATCTAGCTAACCATAGTCTGTGGCCCTTGATCAGTGACCGTCGTAAATGCCTCTGATTTGCTGCAGTAATGTTTGTGGTAGAAGCTAACGTTAGTAGTGGCCACTAGCTGTATGTTAACACTGACATCATCTGCTTTGCTACATTAAGAGTAATTGTGAGTTGGCTCGCTAACAAAGCCCTAAATCTACAGTTTGTTCAGGTTAAAGTAAAGCTCTCAGTGTTAAAGACAAATGGGGACTGTAGAGTTGTAAAAAAAAATGAAAGGTTTTTTTGAAGAGACGATGTTTGAGCGCTTCGAAGGCTGAGCTGGACATGAAACTCTCAACAGAACAACTGTCCTGCAACCAAAGCGAACGTTTCAACATGACCTACTCAAGCATCTGCAGTGATGTGGTTAACTGCGGTATGGTGAGGGTTAGGCAACTCAAACTTCAACTTCGCAACTCAATAGAAAGCAGAGATGCGCCGCTAGCTGCTGTTTTACAGTGTATTTTTACAGGTGTTTTCTTTCATTTCATTAAACGCTGATTTGGAAACGGATTTCTCCAAAACACATCAATCAAATTAGATACAACTGATCATTATCTATCTGCAACCAAACAACCAACTGACGAATACATTATGATTAAAAGATATGAGACATATATAGCTTAAGTTAGCTAATGTTAGCAGAATACTAGCTAACTATCTAGCTAATCTTCATCAATCATAAACTTGCTAATTAGCTTCTGTTTTGTCAACATTAATTATCAGATGTAACTAACTAGCCAATGATTGATGTAAATTAGCTAGATAGTGGGCTAGGGTTTTGCTAACATTAGCTAACTTAAGATGTGACAATATATATGTCTCTTTTATCTTTTAACCATCTTCTAAAGGTGGTTGTCTTTCAACATAGATTAGCCTAGCATAGCATATGTAAGTAGAGGGGCCAGCCTTTTGTTAAAAAAACAATTTCGCCTTATATATTTAGCATTTCTACTGTTTCCAAGTATTTGTGTTGTTTTTGGACAACATGGATGAGAAGGCCTTAAAGAGTCAGTGCTCACAACTAGCATAACTAGCTCTCTAACTAGCTAACTAATGCTAGCTACGTCTATGAACAATAGCAACAGAAAATGGTCACAAGTCATTCCTTTGTAAATTTCTTTAGAGAAGAGTTCTCCTCAAGTAAACATCCATTTATAGAAATTTTAAAAAAGATATTTTTATCTTGTGCTTTTTGTAGAAGAGTGTGGCAGGAATTTGTCTCTTTGCAAACGACAGCCGACTGTCACATTTCTCTACACAACAAGTCTTTTTCTAGTTTTCTCAGATATGGTTGCTCAGTAAATACATCAGATCATTAGTCTAAATGATTTCTCAGGTAGTGCAGTCTGCAGTCAGTGGCCTACCCTTATTTTTATTCACTTGTAAACTGATTCTAATCCCAAAATGGAACTGGGATGAAACCAGTAAAGACTCTTTTCTCTTTCAGAGCTCCAGTAACTTTGAGTCTGGAGAACTGTACACCGTTTTCTATCATCAGAACAGAAACAAATGAATACTCACCTTCCTTTGAAAATGTATCTCTGCTGCGTTTATCTTTCCCAGGTGATTGTAGGTTATAAATACTGTTTGATTATTTATTCATCACATCAAAAACTTTGTTTCTGGCCCCAACTGGAGGTAAAGGTCTAATGACAGAGAGGTTTTCTGGTGTGTAATATCTATCATTAATAAACTTACCCAGTGACAGATTTTATGGATATTTCATATTATTCAAAACTGTACAAAAAACTAATTTTGAGCAGATTATTTCCTATTTAGTAACTTTTTATACAATTCTGTCTGTATTCTGTGTTTTTATCATTTTTAACAATCATACAGACTTCACAGGCTTCAGTTTAATTGACGGTGGGCCATCATCCTATTAGACAATTGGTTCCCAACCTTGGGGTCTGGACCCCCACTAGGGGTCGCCAAAGCTTCATAGGAGGCCTTCTGGAATTAAAGGTTGTAAGAAAACTTTAAAAATATCCACAGTGGGTAGGTGGTTGTGTGAAGGAAAGTAAAGTAATAGAACAATGAGAAGAAAACAGTGAAAATGTGTCACTGAGTCAATTTATTAATGAAAGGTTGGGAACCAGAGTATTACAACATTTACTTTACTTTTACTTCACAGAAGTCAACCAGGAGCTAAAATATAGACAATAAGCACATTTTAAAATCAAGACGGCCTTGCGACCCCCTGTGAAGCTCTGGCGCCCCCCAGTGGGCGCTGGGAACCAGTGATGTTGTAAACATGGTGAAGGGTGTTCAGTTTTCCAGACTGCAGTTAATGTGAGTCCAAAGATGATTCTCAGCTGTGTCCGTTTAACTTTTAGCTGCTTGGTGTGATGAAAACGTGATGAAACGTCTTTGTGTAATCAGAATCAGAATCAGAATCAGAAATACTTTAATAATCCCCGTGGGGAAATTACTTGTGTAAACTCTACTGTGATATGAAGGTCCACGCTTTATTAAAGCTCCTCAGTTCAACACTCGTGGTTACAGTGTTTCTAGTGTCAGTGTCTACATGCTGTGTACAAACTCATTTTATCATCTGAGGTAGAATTAGTAAAATCAGAAAAGACACACATTGTCTCTGTGTATTTCTGTCTTCATCCACATTATTATTATTATTGTTATTATGGTTCAGTCTCCAGAGTGAGTTTTATTAGTTTCTGTGTTCATTAGATTAATTTATATATTTGTCCTAAAATTTGACCCAATAGACAAAAGCTAAAGACATTTCCTGTATATTGTAATACTGAGATATTGATCTACTGTGGATATTTGTAACGTTTTCTTTCAACCCTCCAGTGAAGCTTTGGTGACCCCTAGTGGGGGTCCAGACCCTCAGGTTGGGAACCAGTGGTCTACGTAACAGTGAGTCAACTATCTTCCAAAGTGTTGAGTTTATATTGTTATACACTCTGAACCTCCATATTATTATTTATAATCAAATTAAAGTGAACAGAAAACTAAAATTACATAAATTAAGATTGTATGTTTAATAAATGAATTGGCTGCCATTAGATAATCAATCAATAATCAATAGTTTTTGTTTGACAGGTGATGTAATAATTTGATTTAGTGGAAGAAAACTGAGTAAATTCAACTTGGTGGTAACATTTGTATAAAGAAGAAGCATTTAAGTGACTTTATTCAGATAAATTCTGTGAACACATTTTAAATAAGTTTGGAGAAATGCTGCATATGACAGTAACTTCAATTAACTGAATGGAATTAGTTCAATTAACTTAATTTACCCAAAGTTACCTTAACAATCAATACCTGAGTTACTGCGAC